ACTCGTCTCGAACAGGGCACAGGGTAGACTAATGTACCTAAACCTACCTAATGTAATTAAACTAAAGTCCAGTACTAGTGTTAGACCAAATTAAGAATACCAGAGAGACGAACGTGGACCTAAATGGAACGAAACGATCGTTGCACGATCTCGACTTTCCCCTTCTGAATTTAGCATATTGTACATTTTGCATTTTTTCTTTTGCCTTGATTAAAAATTCAATCTTTTTTTCTCTACAAAGCCTCTACTTCTCTATTATATTAAAAAATAAACTGTATATCGCGTATATGTATATGTAGAAAAGAATTATCGTTTTCTACAATTGAACATTTTCGTTCAGCCAAGAAAATCAGACGGAAGAGAAATTGAAGTCAGAAAAGATCAGGGAATTGTCGAGGCTCGTGCTCGTATACAAAAGGTGAGGGGGGGTACAGGGCTCTATGCATTGAAAACAACGTTGCTTGTGATTTTTGTTTTAGCTGCCAACCTCTCTTGTCTCTGTCACCCAGTATGCCTCGTTCACCAGCACCTGCCTTGTGATGTTCTGTGGACAAACAGGAACTTAAAACCAAAGGAAAATATATCCGCTGATCTGTTAGGGGGCAAGGGGGGTTTTGGTGGCTTTCAGGGGCCGGGGGGGTTCGAGGGTGGATTCGCGCTATTCAATCGTTTATCCCGCCGGACGGGTAAACAGGATGAAACAGATACACACACACACACACACAAGGGTGTGTCGATACCGTTTACGCTCGAGTGTCTCGATGATACCACGAGAAAGAGAAGTGATGCTTCAATTAGTATTGTACGTTTCAAAGAGATCTGGAGGATCTTCCTTTCTTTCGTTCTTGTTGTAGGTTTAGTTTACATATGTGTATTTGGTAATTATCGCGGTGTCATCGAGAAAACGTTTGACGTTTTGAATTGTATATATACGAGGTATACAACGGTATACGTAGGTGAGTTACATCGTAACTGTTATTTATAGAACGGGGTTAATGATAATCTGGTATAGAACGACAGGGACGTTAATCTATTCTCGATAAATAACACGAGTTTCCAGGGTTTATTTTTAGAGAGACACCTAACGGCTGAATTCTTTTGTTCATGGACCATCGTACATCGTCGTATGGGAGATAGTTGAATTTGTTGAAAATGATCACTTTTACGTCGCTCACCCCATCCACGATGAGTGTAATAATTTTGTTCTTTCTTTTTTCTTTTTTTTTTTTTTTAGGTTTTTTTGTTCGCAAGATCGGTAGATTCTCAGAGATCCTAACGTAGGATAATTGGTATTTAGTGTTGGTGTTTTAGTACGTTCATTAGAGAATCAGAGAAAGGAAAATCTTACCGCGTTCTCCCTTCTGTCGAACACAGGAACGCTGACCGAGGTCATCAGCCTGTACTCCTGAAGATCGCTGGTCTGGTCGTGTGATTTCTTCTGCTTCTTCACGAACCTGCGATCCCTCTCTTCGCTGTTGAACAGTTTCTTCCTTCTGTGAAGCCGAAGGAACCTCTCCTTTTGCTCCTCGCTCTCTCTTTGCTCCCATAACCAATCGGTCATCTTTGGATCTGTCACGTCGGCGTACACCGGTGTCCAGATCGTTGGATGATCCGTACGACCAAGGACCAACGGTCTCGCCATCACTGGAACGTATTTCAGGACCTGGGGATGGTGATTTAATGATTAATTTACTCTGTTCAATTTATAAATTGAAGTAGAATCTATAGATGGGGATTGAATAATTCATTAGGTCGTGCTATACGATTTCTAATCATTTTGCAAATTGATCAATTAAGTGATTAATTGAGTTTCTTCGTGGCGAATTTGTTGTGGAATTTAAAGGTTCTGCAATTTTAGATATTTCACAGAACTGTGTAAAATGTTGCTCCATGAAGTAAACGATAACATTATGAATGAAAGAAGGGAAAATTCTTGGTGAAACAGAATCTTATAGAACATTAGTATCACAGAATTGGAGTAGAAATAGTGGAGTACCAGTGCAAGAATATTTAATCAATACGAAACGTACTTCTTCTCTGACTTCAGCCAAGGTGCAAAGATGCACGAAGTAGCCTCTATTAGCACATGCCATCCACTGGACTTCCTTCACATCCGCTACCTCTCTGCCAATCAGATAAGTGAACATTCTGACCGGCATATCAGCTTTGAAAGGCTCGTCAATATTGTCCCCCCAATTGTAAACTTCGAAGATTTCCTTGTAGTTGTACGGCACTCCGTCTGTTATCAACATGATCGCCTGGTTGCAGCAGGCTCCTTTCCTTTCCCTTCGATACGTCTCGAGCAGTTCGAACGCAGTATTCAAGGCCAGCGAGAAATTCGCTATCTTCTCTGTGTCTAAATTCAAGATTGCTCGCTTCAGTTCTCTCACGTTCGCTAAATTAGCTTGTACCAAGGTGTCGTTGAAACACGGTACTACCTAGATTATACAATTTTGTTCATTGATTACTTCCACAAATAAGAACTGTTAACATATTCACTGCCCAAGGAACATGATTACAAAGTTAACTGTATCAACTCTCCAAAAAAATTACAAATTATCTCTCCTTTTTTTAGGATAAATTCCTTACATTTAAATAACATAAACATACACTTCTTTCTGTATAAAAAAATCGTGTGTGAATAGACAAGTTTAAACTATTCCGAGTTAAAGTATGATTCAGTGGACAATGAAGGTGTTATTCATCTTTAAATAACAATTACCTCTTTGGTAACATTGGAGAACGTGATGATATTCACAAAATCATTGTTCCCAAGTGTGTCTAAAATATTGTTCACCACATGTCTGGCGATTTCACGACGGATTCCAGTCATACTACCAGAGGTATCTATTAAAATCAGAACATCTTTTGGACTAGTAGCTGCCTCTATGTACCAGCTTCTTGTTCTGCAATCGAACAGATCCACAGGCTCCATGTACCAGCCCATGGCAGGATACTGCCTCATGAAACCAGTCGCGCTACCGAAATACTGCCACGACAACGACGGATCTTGCTCGTAGTTACTGATGAAAATTCTATCCAGCTCCTCGGACCATTTAATGGCTCTGATCACGTTGGACGCTCGTTCGTAAACGTTTGTTGGGACGTGTACAGCTGACATGTTTAAATTAACTTTACCACCAAAGTGAGAACTGTGCTTCAACTCGATTGTATTGTTTTTCGCATTGATGAAGTCGAAGGTTTTTGGAGGATCGGTGTCTGGAGCGGAAAAGGCTGACGTTTCAGCGACGTCCATGATTCTCTGTGAAAATGAATTAAATTTGAAGTTAATAGGGTAGTTTCTTCGTTAATAAAATTTCTTCTTACTTTTAGAAGGATTTTTAGAATTTTTATATGGTAGAATTTGTTAATTTTTTTATGGAGAAGAATGAATGTACCTTGATGGCTGATATTTTCGACTCCATCATAGCCTTGATGTCCTTGGCGATCTCGTGGACCAGAGCGTGACCATCACGTGGCTTCGCCACCGCCTGTTTGTAGCTCTCGTGGAACTTCTCCACGTTGGTCACGTACTTGCCCAATTGTGACAGCTCGAAACCCAATTTGTGAGCCCATGTTTTCACTCTGCGCATAGAATACACTTCTAATTAACAAACGACAGTCTGTAATATCTACAATTTCCAATTTTTATTCGTAAATTCACGCAACTCTTACATCAGACTAGACTGTTCTATATTCTATAGTTGTATTAAAAGTATGCATAACGCGTTAACACACTGGAAACCTGGCAAAATCGAACTCTCGTCTTACGTATGACAGTACACATTCTCTATAATTCAACGATCCAAAAGTAAAAACTAACTTCCACATGTATCTACGTTTCACACAAATCCAACAAAATCGAACGACATCTATTCAAACTTTCATACACTTTCGAAAATTTCTAACATTCGAAGCAAACATAAACATTCAACGTGAATCTTGTTAAAACAAATCTAAATTGAACATTCGTTGCGTTAAAACTACCGAGTAATTCTTTGACGATCTTTCTAACAATTAATCAAGAACATCGAAGTGACGCGTGGAAAACAAATCGAGCACGAGGAACCGTGCACCAACGTCCACGTTTTTCGCTTGCTGGATAAGGGGTGGCGCGTGTCGTGTGACCGTGTTACCCGATCGAGTAAATAAACCTCGATACAATTTCAACGGTCTCCGGTACAACGTGTAAAATCGAAGAAAAAGAAAGAAGAAGAGAAAACGCAAAATCCTCACTTGCTGTGTCTTACAAAAAAAAACTTACGTTGTGTACGATATGCTGTCACCACGGTCGGGTGCCTCGATCAGGATCAGGATGACGATAGCAGGTAGGAAACGGGGCCTCATAACTATCGTCGTGTTCTACGGCACTCCGCTGTTTACGCGAGGACACGGTAAACAAAACTGAGGCCGAGAGGAGGCTCGCGTCTGACATTAAGAATACTCCTAACCGGCCGTGGTAGTCGTCGTCGTGGTCGTGCTGGTGCTCGTCGTCGTGGTAGACGTCGTCGCCATGCAGTGCGCGCAACGTTCCACTCCGGACACCAGCACGAATTCCCCTTAACTCGTTTATCGATCGACTACGGAGCTTGCGCGTGAACACGGGAGAGGAGAGAAGCAGGCGTCGGGACACTCGAGCGTCCCGACGACGCGACAGCGCTCGTATAATCGCCGGTTGAAAGTTGAAATTGATAGTAATGTTTGTCTCCAACAGGAGGAAAAGTTCAGCATGGAGGTCTGGTTTGCTCTTATTCTTTCTCATCGACCACATACTATGATAGGGGGTGAGATCTTCTTTCTGTTTCCTTATGACCGATGGATAAGACGACGACGATGTTTTCGTAGGTTCCGCAAGTTAGGTATTCTTCGTTAAGTTTTCTATAATGTTGATCGAAGATGTTTTTGTGATAGGTTTGTTTGAGATGGCGATGGTAGTAGAGCGGTGAGAATTAAGCTGGTTCCTTGGTGAGGTGGTTTATTTGAAGAGTTTGGTAGTCAAGAGGCACTCGACGAAGGCCGCTGTTGTTTTGAGGGTGAAGAAAAAGTTTGAGTGGATGTTTGTTTAATGGTAAACTTTAAAGAGGTACCTTGTATGTACGAGGGTGTGTATACTTGAGGAAGGAGTAGCTGATAGGATTGCTCTTCGAGTATGGAAATATTGTCCGTGGTTCCTCCCAATGTCTTTGAACTAGGATAGAGGAGGAGATTAGGGTGTCCGATGTCCAATAAGTTGATGGAAAATAATGTTAGAATTGTTGAAGTTTTGGAAACGATATTGTCCTTGGTTGTTGAGCCAAAAAATAGGAAAATAGGTGGTCTCATGCCAAAGGAAATAAAGTATTGGATTTCTAAAACAAGAATTATTTGGTAATTAATACTTGTGTGTTTATATTGAACTGGCTATATCTCTACAGTTACAAATACAGATTTATTTAAATAAAAGTTAAAAATAAGAATATTACAATCAAGACGGGCGGAGAGGAGTTATAATCCGAATATCCGTGAAGAGAGGGAGGGAACAAAACATTTTCTGGAGCAAGCTCCTCTCACCCTATCAACAGACCTCGCGACGCCGCCAGAAAATCGTATCTCGCATGGATGGAAGGATATTTCGCCAGGCTTTATGTTCTCCTTTCTTCGTCCACGATCGATTTGCTCTTGGATGTCTTTGGTCCACAAAAAAGAAACGAGGTCTCGCATATAAAACATCGGGCTGACTATTTTTAGTCTTAATAGATATCAAATCTATACGATTAACCCCTCAGGCCCAGCATCGGTACTGACCTTCGCTATTGGTCTTATCGTGATGCTTTTTCACTCGGTGCAAGAGTGTTTTACGCTGTTTGCGTTCCAAATTTAAGGTAAATAATTATTCATTTATAGAGTACCATATGAAATTACCACTCACACCGCGTCGCAACGCAAAATTGTCGCCGACCGCTGCTGAGAGCGGAAAGTGGAAATTTGTGCCATATCCGAGGGGTGAATAACGCTGTTTACTTTAACCCTCTATAACGCCAAGTAACTTGGAAATTGTGTCTCTATTTTACAAAGCATACTTTATTGTTATACTATTGCACCGATAAATCTTCTCACGAACGAAGAGAAATTGGGTTATAGAGGTTTACATTTACAATTAATTCTCATTTCATTTCTCCTATCATTAGAAAAAGGTTTCAGGGTGTAACGTAAGAAATGCCAACGTCTTATACCATAGTTCACATGTAGAATCAATAATATCAGTTAAAAGCGTAATATTCTTTCTTCGAACTGTCATAGAAACGCACATAAAACTCTCGCGATAACAACGGAGAACAGTAACAGAGATACGGTCAGTCCAGATGCCCTTCCGCAATCCTCGATCTCATATTCCAAGGGATGTTCGGTGAAACAGCCCTCTAGGCGCCTCCTTTTAAGGTCGTTCAGTGGAATTTTATGACAGGGAGCACTCTCGCTGCCGTTCGCATACTCCAGTGGCGAGATGATCACCGGTGTTACCTCTAATCTCTTGTAACAGGTCGGGTACATCGCGTCGACCACCACCAATAACAAATTCGTATGAGGTACCTAAAAAAGTCATTCAATTTTTTCATTTCTTAACAATTATTTCCATCTACTTATCAGTCTAAGAATATCCTTTCTCGTTTAATAAACGTTCCATTTCTAAAAAGTATCGTGTACCATCGGTGATACATACCTATATGACATGAAACGTATTAAAATTGGAAAGAACAAACTACTGTATATTCGAGGGCAACACGTCAGACACTGACCCTACGCGCGTGAAACGGCCTTGAACAGTAATTCGGATGATCGGTGATACCCTTGCCAGCAATAGTGTTATTCATCATGTAAAGGGTCCTCTTCTGGTCACATGGATAATGATAAAGATAGGGTCGTGGTGGAGGAGGCGGGTCCGGGGCGTCCTCGTCGAAGTGAACTTTGGCATAACCGACCGGCAAGTTCACGAACTGGGTCGTGAACCACGTCACACGCAGCAGAAACCAGAGCAACAGTTTCCAGACGTACATCAGCGGGTCCGTGAGCGTGCTGGCCGCATCCTGGATACGCTGCGGACAGAGTTTCGTTCGTTCGTTCACCGTGAGAAAAGCTTCTTCGTCGGCCGAATTTCACAGTATTTTGTTTGCGAAACGTTTCAAGCTAAGTTACGGCTATCTTGGAACTTTTTTCCCCTCTTCGGGGAAGTTCGCGCGAATTAGAAATATGTCGGCGCGAAACGGGTCATGCAGCTTTCATGGGAAGTTTTATTTGTTTTACTTTTGTCTCCCCCGGCTCCGTGGAACTTTATTCCAACGCTTGGACAATTTCTCGGATATCTGTGCTTTTAACTGAGCGGTTTTGCTCCGCTGATGGATCTTGAAAGTTCAGATTTACGATATAGAAATGTTTGGAAAAAGTTGTTGGATCGAGAATTTATGTACTTACTACTTCCTCACACCAAGCTTGGTAATCGTAGATGTCTACCGGATTGTAGAGACCTTGGCCAACCATAGAGTTCATCACAGCACCTTCTTGAGTACCCATGAATTGACCAGTGTCGTTGTGAGCTTCTGAGATCACCACGTAGCCATTTTGGTCCAGCAAGTAACAATCGATCCATGTGTCATTGCAGTCTGTAGTTCCGTTGATTGGACTGCGGGTCACATTGATGAATCTCTCGTAGAGAGCGGTCATGGGCATTTGGAAGCCTATCACCGCGGCTGGTGCCGTTTTGCCGCCGTCTTTTGGGAATATTCCTTTCGAGACTGTCACTACTGCGTCTGTTCCTGCTTCCCAGGGTACTGAAATCATTTCAAATTCAAATTAAATTATAATTCTTCTCGATTAAATTGAGTAAACCTGTACTTTACAGCTACCTGACAGGGATATACTGTTAGGATCCAGAATATTCTGGAAAATAGCGCCCTTGTACCAGGGTTCGTTCACAGCTCTCCTATGAAGATCTCCAAAAACAATTCCATCGTCTTCTTCAGGCAGTTTATTCTTGCTCAAATGGTGCCACCTGGTTAAACCACTCTGTGTAGCGACAAATCTCAAGAAGATTTTGTACGTTTCAGATAAATTTTGCGCTCGAGGATCGTCCAATACAAAATTATTAGCGAACGTAGCGTTGGTTGCCTTTGCATCGAAAACTAACAGCTGCATTAATTCTTTGTTGCAATAGTAGTCATCGTGTGACAATGTTTGTCTACCACAGTTAGGAACATAGTCTGTTTCGTTTTCTGTTATGGAATAAGCTTCGTACTGTTCCGCCCAACGCCAGCCAGGCTTGTTCAACAGTTCCAAAAAGTGTCGTAACTCTTCCTCGGGATTGTCGAATTGATGACCCTCCAAATAGTGAAAGCGACAGTACACCCAACCGGGATGTACACGCCAATTATTGCCCACGAAGAACTCGGAGATGTTCACGTTCATGTTTTGGTTCCTCCGGATCTCGTCACCCACCTTCAACAAAATATCAAAATGAGAGAAATTA